ATGCGGCAGAGTGGTGGCTCTGTGGCTCAGGATCTGCACCTGTTGCTGGAAGGTTGCCAGTTCAAATCCTGCAGCCAGCAGAGGAATCCTGCTCCGTTGGGCCCCTGAGCAAGGCCCTTAACCCCAGCTGCTCCAGGGGTGCTGTACAATCACAGACCCTGTGCTCTGAACCCAGGCTCTCTCCCTATCTCTGTGTCTCATGGAGAGCAAGCTGGGGTATGTGAAAAGATTCCTAATGCAAGAAATTGTAAAGGGTCAATAAAGTGATATTATTATTATTTATGTAATAAGCTGTCCTTTAATTCAACTGTTTGCTGCTAATATTTATACAGTATCATTAGTGCAGGAAAGCTTAAATGGGATCAAAACATTTTATATTGTACCTATTTTGCCTACTCGCTCATTCTAGATGGCTACATCTGTATATATAAGCGGAACATAGCTTTTAAATATGGAATAATAACTAAGTATTATAGCGACGCTAGCAGTACATGTAACAGTAGGTTAACAGTAATTAATAATAGTAGTAACAGCAACATTAATAATAGTAGCATTACTAGTTAATTAATTAATAGTAACATTACTACTATTAGATTATTACTGAAATCAATAGCAGGCAACACAAGCAATAGCAAAAGTAATGAAACACAGTAAATTGGCCACTGTAAAAACTGATTGTTTTACCTTACTGAATTAATACAAATGTAATATTTAACATACTGTGATAAATAGATATAATTAATAAAAATGTCAAATATAGTATTTAAATTAAATGTTATTATCAGACAAAGATTTTCCCTATGGGGTTGGGCATTGGCTGGGATTCGTACCCAGGCATATTGTGTGACAGCCCACACCAGGTTAAATATACTGTGTCACCTGGCGGTTTTTTCAAAGAAGTGCAGTCCCACACCCAATTTTTAGAAAAAAATAAAAAGGTCTTTTGCATTACCACAAGGTGTAATGAAGTACTCGATTTGCAGTATAGTGCATTATGTTTTGAATGTTCTGAATGGCAGGATCTCTACTATAACCACCTTCAAATCAGGATCAAACCTCACCTGCTGTAACGTTTAAAAATATTTCTGGAAAATTATAAAAACCATGGTGTAGGCTAAACCAACTTTAGTGTAAAATCCTTCCCTCCCTGAATTGGCCCATACCTGTTTCAGCCCACCAGATTTCCCCCTGTAATCCCAAATTTAAATAATGGGAGAACAGTGCTATGCTTTTCACTTTAAACTTAAAACCTATGAAAAAGCTATCTTGCCAATCTCTTTTATCATTATCCTTAGAGAAAGCTTACCTGCTTCCTTTTTAAACTATGGCAAATCACTTACTTCTTCTTACATCTCTGTCAGAAACTCAAACATTCTTTCCCTGGTTTAACTGCAGACTCCAGTTAGCCTGACGATCCGATTAGATATTAAGATCTGTGTCGAACCTTTTTATAGAGCAAATGATTGAACACAGCCAAAGCCAAAGCAGAGTTTACAACCACTGGGTTGTGCTTCAACAGGCACAAACTGCTGAGAAAAACAGATGGATCATCACACCATGTGCATTATAGTAAATCTGCCTAGCAGAGTGCATGGGTCGGGAATATATAATTATATAGGAATATATAATAACTACAGGCCTGTCAATAGAAGCCACCACAAAAGCCTTAAGACTGGTTTGTATGTACATGGATTTGCATGGCTTATAATTAGAATGATTAGTTATTTAGAATGAGGAATTCTCAGATGTATATAAAGGGAGTTTTTGAAGGTTTTTGTACTGGGTTTCTAGCTATTGTCAACATTATCAGTTAGTGACCATTAGCACATACTGTAGCTGACTATGCCACATAACAGTTTTTAAGGTGCCATGACCCTTCTTTGTGCATAAGCTTTCAGAAATCCCACAAACCGCCACAGACTTGTATAACACAGATATATTCAATAATTGTGTTTTTATTCCTATATGATGGGTTGCAGTGAAAGTAGACAGTATGTACAGTGTTTCACATATAATGATGCATTAAGTATCTAACATTGTTGTGTGGAATTTAAAAAAAAGGTGTGTACTGTGTGAGAAGTTGTGTACTGTATGTGCTACACTTTCAAAAGTGCATGTGTGTGTGTGCCTGGGTGAAACATGCTGGTAAAACAAAACAAAAAAAATTAGTTAAACACCAAGGACTTACTTAAGGGACAGAAAGAGAAGCAGTGATGATACTAAGTTTCTTCATTCCCACTTCTCTTTCTCTCTGTTAAGTAACAGACCTAGAGCTCTTATCAGAACAGGCACGATGTTAAACCGACAGTTATCACACCATAGGTTTACCATTTAATCACACAGGCTATTACTGTCACACTCCTTGAACTTTATTGCCATATGTACTCTGTACACGTACTGGTACATTGGAATTCTTACTTACAGTCTCTCGATTGTTAAAACAAGTGTAAATACACAAAGTGCAGTCAGTGCATCAAGACAATATACAAACAGACAGAAGACAATGTACAAGCAAACAAGTAAACAGTTTGAATGTAAACAATGCAGACATGTAAACATTGACTCCTGATGTGCAATAAGTAAGAAATTATAATGAGGTAGATGGTATAGGTGTGGTCTGAGGGGCATGGCCTAATGTGTGTTTGCCAATCGCACTGCTTGTGGGTAGATGCTATTGAAGAATCTGTTGATAAGTGTCCGTATGATCTTGTATCTCTTGCCTGAGGGCAGTGGGGTGAGGAGCTCATGCCCAGGGTGGTGACTGTCCTCTGTGATGGCCAGAATTCTACCACAGCAGCGGTCCTCATAGAGCTGTTTAATCTCTGTGAGACCACAGCTGATGATCTTCTGGGCCACATTTACTGTTCTCTCTCGAGAAGAGGTGTTGCCGTACCACACGGTGATCCCGTTGGTGAGGATGCTCTCGATGGTGCAGTGGTAGAAGTTCACCATCACAGGTACTGGCATCCCCCATCGCTTAAGGCACCTCAAGAAATAAAGGCGCTGCTGAGCCTTCTTCAGGATAGAGTCAGTGTTTACAGACCAGGTTAGATCTTTAGAAATGTGAATTCCCAAAAACCTAAACCTGGCGACTGTTTCCACTTCTGTTCCATCAATACTGAGTGGGCTGTGAGTGTGTGGCCTGTCTCCCCGAAAGTCCACTGTTAGCTCTTTCGTTTTATTTACATTCAAGTCGAGATTATTGCTATGACACCACCTAATCAGCTGTACGACTTCATCCCTGTAAGTGGACTCGTCATCATCGCTGATCAGTCCTATTATAATAGTGTCATCCACAAACCTAATGATGCGGTTGTTACTGTGTCTTGCTGTGCAGTCGTGATTGAACATGGAGTACAGCCTTGGACTCAGACAGCAGCCTTGTGGGGTGCCAGTGCTCTGGGTGAGCGGTGTTGATGTTTTATTACCTATCCGTACCACCTGTGGTCTATCGATAAGGAAGTCCAGCGGCCAGTTGCAGACAGAGTTGCCCAGTCTTAAGCTGCAGGATTGAAATCAAGGGTTTTCTCTTTATAGCTGAGAATTTTACATTTGAGTTTTCACTCACTAACCTCTCTGTTCCTCCCTGCAGATAATACTCTAAGTTGTATTGACTTCTAAGGAGTGGCGAAGTAGTAAAAGTGTAGTTGGCAGCTTTCGATCTGCAGGTTTAGGTGATGTTAATAACATGCAGAATTACAGTATATGAAAATTACCTCGGTCTTCTACTGTACATAAGGGATATACTTAGAAAATTATAATTAATTATTCCGTTTTAATTTATTATGATGTTTTTGCTGTGATGAACATGGATGTTTTTTGTTCAAATGCGAAATATTGATGGTTATATTAACAGGTTCATTTTCTATTCCACCTCAAAGTGGCATCAT